GGAGTAATTTTGTATCTTTTTAATTATATCAGCTTGTTCTTAGAGATTCAAAATCTGTCACTAGAAGATGTATCCGTTCGTTTTTTGCATCATCACAGTGGTATTATTTCTGTTCCCTATCAGCCTTCTCTTCTATGAAATTAGCCCATACTTGGTGTGAACTACAGACACTTTTCTGAAAAAAGTTGAGACAAAGTAGGTTTTGATAAGTGACTTTGATTAATTCTTAATCCACATAGCATACTATTTGTTGGTTTTCAGATGTAATTTAAATTACACAGTGTTGGGTGTACCCATCATGCTGCTGAAACAGGAGCTGGCTGAATAACTCTGCCCCCCCCCCTCACTTTATGCATTGCCTATACATTTATATATTTTAGTTTTTAAGTGCAAATGGGCTAGCTGCACTTATGGTGACATTGGTGTATCTAGAATCTTTATTTTTCTTTCAGAAAAATATCTCAAAGGCTTGTTGAGGTTAACAGGAGTTTTCACAGAGGACAGATTTTGGGGATTTATTGGGGCAGAAGGCACACAGAACAGTAGATCATAGTAAAAATTCACTGGTTGTTTACTGGGTGGATTGGATTTGTTATATATTCCATTAAACATTTATTAAAATCCTGTTAATTTGCAAGGCAGAAGTATAAGCTGTCTGCCCAAAGAAGACTTAACCATTAGCATTTTGTTCTTGACCTTTTCTGTCCATGAATTTCAGCTGTACTTGACCGCTTGGTGGACGTGATCCTACATTTCAGTCACATTAGCCTCCTTTTTTTTTGGATTTTTTTTTTTTTTTTGCATTCTCTATCTTTTAATTATTTGACTGTAATTCTTCCAGATCTCAGGCCACGGGGCATTTAATGGCTTTTGCCACAAAGAAAAAGTGTTGAGAGATTTTTTCATTGGTAAATTCCTCCTCTGGGGTTGGATGTCTCACTTTCCCCATGCGAGACACACAAGGAGCCTCAGTCAGAAAGTGGGTTTCTCTTGCCAGGGCGTTTCAGCAGAACCGGTGAATAACGCAGCAGAATTTTGCAAGGACGCAATAGCAAAACCACTGCTTTACCTCACCAGCCCGCGGGCACTGCTTTTGTTGTGATCACAGCAGGTTTTGAGTGATGTACGCACAAAGGAAAAAGAGAGAATGAACAGAAAGTAGTTTATGGCTTTCCTCAAAGGCACTTTTCTAACTCAAAAATATAAGCCTTGTGGTTTATATGGTTTTGAAATGTAACCACAGATATTGAGAACTGGAAAAGATTTCATTTACCATCTCCTCCAATTTTGGTACCAGATTCAGGGCAGAGGAAATTTATTTTCAGAATGAAAAAAGTTGAAAGGAAATGTATTAATGTCAATATTCCTAAAACAGGAACATGCTATTTGGAGAAACTGTCAGGTGAAGAAATGGAGGTTTTGTGTCTTGATGGAGTGGGTGCAGGTGTGTCTTTCTGAGATCTCCACCAAAGCGCTATAACCTTGCTTTGGTGGGGCTTTGACAGATATTTTATGGTCTGCAACCCCCTTTTTTTGAGCCGTGAAGGATCAGTGTCAGACTGAGCACTTGCTCTTCGAGCTTGGTCTAGGAACTGAATGGGATCAGCTGCCTGGGGCACGTCTCAGCCTCTCCAGTTTGGGAGCATGGTAGACCTGGCCATCCTTGGCTGCTCACAGCTGGGAGCAGGGAAAGCTGATGCTCTCCTACTTGCCACACTGTTTTATATGGCCTCATCCTTGTTTTGTTTGTTTTGCTCATTGAATGACCCTTGCTAATAGCTGGATACCTTTTCAGTATGTAAGAGTCTCTGCAGAATTTAACTTTTCTTTAGAAGTGGAGATTCTGGGTGTTCTTGGTGTGACATATGAAGGCATTTTTCTGGCCTCTGTGACCTATCCTTGCTTTTGCAGGCACTGTTCTGTCACTGTTTTAATACGTGTATCTTAGTAATTGCTGCTTCTTGCTCCTACTACTGTGGCTGGAGGCCGCTCCAGAATTTTCCTGTTCTTGTCCTCTGAGTTGAGCCCAGATGCATTTGTGGTTCAGTCGCTTTGCTTTGTTCTTCCTTCCCTTTATTTCTTCCTCTCTCCCTTTTGTGTTGGGCAATCGTCTGCTCTCCAGATTTGTTCTGGAAGGCTTGTGAAACTCCTTGTAAGGTCCTGTCCTTTTTCCTTGGATATCCTGGCATTAGTTTCCTGCTGCTTCTCTGGTTCCTTCTCGGAGGTGGATGAGCAGGATCCTACCTGGTATTCAGTGGGAACATAACAGTACTATTATTGCTTCATTATCCATGCCAAAGACAGTCATTCTCACTCTTTAGGGGTGCCAAGAGAACCAAGAGAAGGCCAGTCCACCAGAGGTCCTGCAGGAGGAAGAATAGAGGAATTCTTCGTTTCTTTCAGTAGCCAAAATGATGTGGACCTTCACATTTACATCTTCTGTCCTAGCTGGAGGGTAGCTAGATACAGTAGCTCAAGGTCCAGCATGAACTGCAGAGGTTTTCCACTCTGGTGGGACTAGGCAAAAGCATAATGTTGCTTTGTGCTCTCGTTTAAGTTTGGTTCTAGGAGTATCTGCTCGTCAGTAATTTTGTCATGTTTAGCCTCTGACTACATTTCATTCTTAGGTACTTCCAAGGCTTTACGAGGTAAGGAAGGAAACAGCACTGTTCTGACACTAGCGTACCGCAGTTAATTTGTCAGTGTTTTCTCTCCTTGTTCAATCCCCGTTCTGGAGAATTGAGTGGGATTTTCCTCTTTCTTACGCTCAGACTGAATGGAGAGCAAAACCTTTTGGTCAGGTCATGCCAGAAGATGGGTGGTTGCCCTCCCCGTGGTTGACGTTCTCCTGCCCCAGCGGTTCGGCACTGGCCTCCACCGCTGCCCGGCTGGCCTGGCTGCCCATGGCCGGGGCTCGGCAGCGTCCCGAGACGTTTCATAGAAATAACTACATTATGGGTGTGTTCACTTCCAGGGTTTGGGGAGGGGGAAGGTTGCTTTCTACTTACCCATGCTTGCACAGTGGCATGCTGGCAGCATGCTGAGTTGTTTAAAATTGACTGGAGAGACCGTTTTCATGCATCTATGTATTGAAAAAAGAGTAAGATCGGATTTCAGTTACAGGGAGGTAAGGTAGGAAAAAGTCACGTAAGAAGAGGGCTTGTTTTGTTGATTGAGGTTTAGAAAGCTTTTTAACAAGTTGAATTATTGGCTGTATCTGAAGTGAAACACTGCTTTCCTAACTGCTCTCATTTCCTGTGTCATTCCGGCTTGTTCACTGCATTAATTACAGTTCAGATTTACAGTGTATTTGGTTACACACTGGGTTGCATTCTAGTTTTTTTTCCTCTGTGTGTATAAATTTCTTTGGGAGTCAGGCCAAGAGGAGAGTGTGCATATGTGCATGCACACACACATGGGCTGAATTTGACTGTTAGTTGCTAATTTTGTGGGGACCAGGGATATGGATTTTCTTCTGTTTTTTTGTAAAAAGAGACTTTTATTTTTTCCAAAGGAGAAGCAGCAGCTGAGAACAGCCAGTGTTTGGAGAGTTCAAGATTTCAGAACAACCAGAGATGAGAGAAAATATTATCTTATGAATTGTAAATGTGGCATTTTTAATTTGGCTGGTGTTTCCCAGAGGTTAGTGGATGATGGGAATACTATCATTCTCTTGGCTTGACCAGTAATCAGCTTGCTACGTAAAATATTTTATAAATGCAGTGCTTCGGAGTTTAGTTGGATGAGGTAGAGCTTTTCACAGTTCAAGTAGCTTTTTGTGACCTGAAATATGAAGTGAGATGGGATACTAAGCAAGAAATCTAGCATTTGGAAATGAGCTATTTAGGAACTGTAGAACGCAGAAGCTGATTGAAAGTATGTTTCCTTTTCAGTTTAACATTTTTCTTTTGGCTTTAAGAAAGCATAAGAAAGCACTAAATAAATGAGGAGTGTTTTTGTAGAACTCATTCAGATTTTTAAATTGGTTCTTCACATTTAAACTGTTGATGCAGTAGAAGATTTTCATTCAGAATATTCTGAGTCATGGTTTTGTAAGTAAATGATTGTGAATTAAATAGAACCAGATATCAAAAATGTTACTGCTTTTAAAGTTAAATATTCCTAAACATTTGGTTCAGAAATACTGGTATGATGAATAATGGTATGATGGATAATCCTTCTATGATGAATGATAATAGATACAAAATAACAGCTGAAGCAAGTTCTCAAATAACTAGGTGAATAGTAAAAGAGAAAAATTCCAAATAACCTTCTTTTGAAATAATTGATCACTCTTTTTTTTAGCCTTGCCACAAATCACAGCGGCATTTCATCTTTCCTCTTCCTCAAACACCATCTTGCCCAAATCACGTCAGAGCCCAGCCTGCTTCCAGCCCCGCGTGGCTGGCCCGGCGCGGGCAGGCTCGGCTCTCCAGCACACAAAGGCTGCCCCGCGCTTGCCAAGCAAATAGAGGCTGATCTTCCCATAAATTCACCCACTCGCGTCTTCCATCCACAGGTTGTGATGAGGTTAACACTTTAGAGCCATTTCATTAACAATTAGTGTGTTGGTAATCCTTTCCAACCTGTGCAGGATGCTTACTCTTCTGGGACCATTTTGTTTTAATATAAAAAGGGGGAGCGGTAGGGGAACCAGTGGGGATGTGTTTGATGCGTAGCAGCAGCATGATTTAGTTGTAAATGCACCAATACAGCTTTTCAGTATTTGAGCCCGTGTGGGTGTTTAGTTAAAGCCATGCATGGATGATGTCTGTTATTTTCTTAGGATTTCAGAGTGAGGGATTTTAGCACTTTAATCCTGACTGACAGTTGGAAGGTTGGTGGTTTCAAACACAGTGGCATGGAGTAGCTGATTTCTCTTCGGTGAAACAATGCACCAGTGTGTCTAGGCTGCCTGTACAGAGCCAATAAATCTGGTTTGTTTTGTTTTTCTCCCCCCTTTTCTCTCTCTCCCTCTCTCTCTCTTCCCCCTCCTCCAGGCCAAGACCCACTCCTATTGCTGAAAACCCTTCAGCTTCTCTGGACAAAGAAAGAGATGAAGAAGGTAAGGCTGAGCGTCCCCTCCACGCTGCAGTTAATAACTGCATGCAGAGCATGTCCAGACGCAGAACGCTTAGGTCAGACCTGCAATTCTTCATGATTGCTTTCAGTTCCAGCACACAGGGGAAGAGCCTATGCATTTGCAGCACGAAGTGAAAAGAAAAGGTAGCTCTGTGTGATGTGGAGCAGCTCAGGGGCTCATATAAAAGAGCTGAAGTTTACAGGGCTGAGTTACAGAGGGAAAAAAATCAAAGTTGCTTTTGTTTTCTTTTAAACACTTTTTTTGTCCATTAAATGGAGGATCTTTTGGGGGAGGGGGAAGAATATTTCTAGTAGCTGAAAAAATGAGGGTTGAAGTCAGTAGAAAAGTGCTCTTTGCCAAGTGGGATGATATCAAAACCTTCATAGTCAAAGTATTTTTCACTATTTTTTCTGATTTGGTTTGGTTTTGCCTTTTAGAGTGGTGAATGCAATTTGCACTGCCTGTCTAAAATTAATGCTATATTTTTATACAGCACGCTATGGGTGTAGAGATTTCTCATAGGGAGTAAAATATACTTCATCTAAATTCGGGAGCTTGAAAACTAACAAAAACACTAGATGCATCAGCTTAGTGGTGGGTTTCCCATGTTTAACTCTGTGTTGTTCAGGCAAGTTCATAGCTGAGACGTTTTTTTCTAAAAGACCCAAAAACCTGCAGCTCACCACATAGCCACATGGAATGTGTCCTATGTGAAATGGCCGGCGTGGCTGAATACCTTGGTGTATGTGCTCCATCCTAGGTGTCTGGAGTGTTTAGTCATTGTCCTTGCCTGCTGCACTTAGACTTTCCATTACCGATAGTCTGTGGTTCCCAGCCGGAATAATTAAACAACTGGAAACACAGTGTGAGAGGTGCCTTTCCAAATGGTCAGTCACCGACATAGACTTGAGCTCAGCAACTCTGAAGCCTTGAGCTTTCTATCAAGTTTTGTTAGAGTTGGAGGAAAAAAAATATTATTTGTTAAGTCTTGAGGGCAGTTAATCCCACAAAACAACAGTAGGAAAGAGTAATCATCAAAATCTCTGTACTGTGTACCCTGGGATGTGTGTGGATTGTGAAGAAAAATACTCTGAAAAAGACAAAGCCTCCCGTCGACGTGTCCTTGGGCAGAGAGAAAAAAGAGCACTACAGCTTGCCTGCTGAGGGTGTAAAAGCTTGAGGATCCCCATGAGTCACGCTTGCAGCTCCGCTTACTCAGTTTGTTTCTGGAGCGGTCATCCCAGTGAGACGCGTGGTTCTGCAGAGCGTGCAGGCTGCAGCTCCCCGGTGGGGCAGGTCTGTCCCCCTCAGGCCCACCCTTCAGCCAGCGCCGCGTGGCTGCGGGCACGGGCAGAAGTGTGTTTCTGAACCTGGAGGATGCGTTTCTGAACCACGAGGAAAGCCTTTTTAGATACTCAGTTTGTTTCTGGAGCGGTCATCCCAGTGAGACGCGTGGTTCTGCAGAGCGTGCAGGCTGCAGCTCCCCGGTGGGGCAGGTCTGTCCCCCTCAGGCCCACCCTTCAGCCAGCGCCGCGTGGCTGCGGGCACGGGCAGAAGTGTGTTTCTGAACCTGGAGGATGCGTTTCTGAACCACGAGGAAAGCCTTTTTAGAGAGACGAGGAGGGCTGTGGTGGGAGCAGGCGGTGGCATAGCAGCAGCTGCCTCTAAGGTGGGGAGCACAAGACATGTCCCCAGTGGTTTCTGACATGTCCTCGTCACGCTATCGCTGAGATGGGCTAATCCGTGCTGAGGGCTTCGCCACCCTTCAGGCATGCGGTGCACCCACAGCAAGTGAAGACACTTTTTTCAGGGGCAGCTGCTCCCCTGCCCTCTGTGTGCAGCTCGAGGGGTGTGATGCTGCTGCTTACATCCAACTCTCCAGTTCAAATAAATGGGGGAAGTTGGCTTAAATACAGCTCAGTCTGCTCCATTCACATTTAAATGGCAGGGAGCTGCTTTGCCTTTCGCTCTGTGTGAATGTAAGTCAATACTGTCTATTAACTAGTGTGAATCAGCCCATTGGTCTCAAATCGGTGACCATGAGCAGCAGAAGGAGGGTATCTGTCCATGGCGTGACCTCGGTTCTGGAACATGGTTACAAGAAGTGGTCATTTCCTACATAGGAAAGGCAGTTTCGGAATAACCAAGAAGCATGAGCAGACTGCCCTGAGCTGTGTAACTAGAAATAAGGGACCAAAACTGAATGAAGGAGTATGTAGTTTGAGCATCAGCAAAATTTTCCTATTCCCATGATCTGTCAGGCTGTAGAAATCCCCCAAGGAGCATTCCCTGCCATGGGAATCAATTGAAATGGAAATGGCAATTACACGTTAGAGAGGAATTCTTCTCTGGCAGAGAGACGAGCCAGGCAGCACAACTCTTTCCTCTCTGATTTAGGTGTCTCATGCCTTTTATTTTTCCTTTGTTTTTTTCCCCCTCAAGCTATACATACCATAGTTGAAGTCTTCAGATTGCTAGGAAGTTTTGAAGAAGGCTTCTCCCCTGCTTGTCAAAGTTTAGCTCGTTCGAAGTCAAGACTCAGCCTAGATATCAACGGTTAGTGCTCCTGGCAGTTGTGTCAGTGTTTGGAGATGCTCTGCATGTGAAAGCAGCCTTGTGCTCTCGCAGGCCCTGGTGTCTGCTGGAGCCCATCCTGCCAAAGCCTGGGCTCTGACTCCAGCCCAAGGAGGAGCTGAGCGGTGTGGTGAAAGCTCTTGTTCAGTCTAAATGTGCTGAAGTGGGGCTTTGGGGGGGGGGGGAGAAAAAAGAAGAGAGGCCATTTATAAACAGTGCAATTTAGTTGGTGATTTGCTTTGTTTTCCTTTGGCTGTTGTGTTGGATATTTGTGGTTGGATAAGAGCTTGCCTTTTCCTTCTGCTGAATCTCGCAGTGAAGTTGGAACCCTATGTTTAACATCGCAAATTCTTGCCACAGGGAAAAATACTTACAGGGAGAAATCTGTTATCAAAAGTCACATCTTTGTTAGTCATCAGCTTTTTCATACTGCATTTGATAATCTAGTGAGAAAGAAACCGTTTCTGTTGTAAACGATAGGTTTTGTGGTTTTTCCAGACATGAAAGACACTATGGAAAATAACTGTCTTCCAGTAAATATTGTTGATGAATAAAAAAGAACAAATTCATTGGCAAATTTTCTGTAGTTTTTCTTTTGTTTTCCATGTCATTCTTCAAACTTTATGTTGTTTCCATTGGAAGCTACGACTGGGGCCATCATATACAGTAAATTACAAGTGCTGGCTGCAGGCGGGAATGAGCATCTTTTGGATTTTGCTTTTTAGCCAGAAAAGAAAGACAGCAGCTGCTCTTAGTGATTTCTTGTTTTCTGTCTCTGCTTTTGCCTTGCTCAACGCCAGTACATATACCATGTGGTGAAAGGTCCTGTGTGGGTACTGAAAGATGCCACTTCTTCACCCTGCCAACCCTCTGAGCTCCTTGGAAACTACTTCTAATGTAAACATTATAAAGATATTGCTCAGTACTGCTAATTTATCACTTCTACCAGATGGGTAGTAAGTAGCCTATTAACATTCACAAAGTGAGTGTCCAATTCCTTCACATTTCTAAACACATCACCCTGGGATTCTTAAGATTTATGGCGTGGAGTTTTCCCATGTTCCGAGCCCCTCCTTACGGCCTTTAGGCTCACGGAGGTGTGTGGTGCCTGACGTGCAGTGGCAGTAGGTAGTCGACAGCAAATTCCCTGCTCAGGTAGGTTTGGAGGAAAGGAGCATAGATTTGTAGGATGGTAATCTGACAGAGTTTGAACACTGATGTTTCTTTGTTTTTAATCTTGTGTGTAAAATCCAAACTATTTTGATACTCCCAAATATTCCTGTTACGGCAAGGAGCATTATGCCATCGTGGCTGAAGTGGGTGTAAGGTCAAATATGAAAGTCTGTGGTACAAGAATGAGGAGGAGAGGTTTATATGCTTTATTACTTGTGGGTCTGTTAGAAGATGAGTAGGTTTTTGAGCCCGGTTATCTACCTTCAATATTGCCATCTTCCTAATAACACCCCTTTCTCCAGCTCACTTCTTTTCTCCCCCTCCCCCAAATCCCAAGCCCCTTTGTCTGCCCCACAGAACAACTTCTCTGTCTTTATGGGATAATTAGTGTGGACAATTGCTGCTTTTCCCATTGGGTTTGAGGTGCAGTGAGCCATGAAGGAATCTGTAATGACATGAAAAGTCACTGGAGGCGCGGATGGTGGCTGAATAGCAACAGTTACCTCTCTGAATAGATTAAATTAAAAAAAATAAAGCTTTGTGTTCAGCTGGGGGAAGGGGGGATTCACTAATCTTTTTGTACATGACAATGTGTTTTTGTATCTCAGCAGCTCAAGGAAGAAATCAGGCGGGGCTTTGCAGGACTGGAGGACCCATTGGCAGGACTCCTGGACATGCTGGAGAACAGCAGTGATTGGAAGGGGAAAGGGCATTCCCTCGGGTATTACATCACCGCTGAGCTGCAGCTTTGGATGGGAGAGCATCCTGCTGTTCAACAGGTTAGGAAAAGAGAGAGCAAGAGAGCCGGGAGAGGGCAGTTGATTTTGATGTCCCTCAAGTGTCCCCAGTTTCACTTTATTCCATAGTCCAACATCTTTTCTGTAGTCTCATACAAACACGGTGTGACGGGTGTGAAATTCGTACTGATGTTACCTGTTATATGCTGGCCTGATAAATGAAATAATATTAGAAGCTGTGATGTGAGAGCTCTGTTTCTCCTTCCAAGCTGGGATTTCCATCTTTCCAGATCAAACCACTTTGATCAAGCGTTGATCTTGCAGCCTTTGCCGGGCTGGAGGCTTTCCCACTGGAACTCACATCCTTGCTGTCAGGATAAAACCAATTGCAGTAATCTACTCTGCATATTCTTCCAGTTCTGCAAATAGAAGCCAGTTACTGTACAATTGCTTAACTCCTGCCATATGGTGGGGAGCTTTTATCATCGGGAATGCAGAAAATGGTAACAGTATGACTTTTCAGCAGCTGAATGATTAGCTTTGTAACGTTGGGTCATCAGATTAGACGTCCTAATGTTTACCATTCCTTATGCCTTCGTATATCCTGACCTACTGAGATTTTCTTTTTTGTATGCTTTTGGCTCTGAACTGCACGATACTTTTATATTTGTGTTGTTTCATTTCCCATTTTTCCAAATGGCTCTTTTTAGATGTTGAGCTCTGCCATTACAGTATCTGCAAAGCGCAGTGAAGTGCTACTGGCACTGAAATTCCTAGGTCATAAGAGAATGATCACGTAGGAACACAAGGATTAATACTTGCATCTGTGCATCTTTTGACGATGCTTTTGCTTTTCCTGCCCTTCTTGCACCCAGGAGCAAGCCTGGGAGTGAAAACTGAATTCTTACGCCGGATAGGTGAGATCTCCCTTGAAGGGAGTTGCTGGATTCAAAGATTTTCTGCTGGGAACTAGAGGGGAGAATTTCTAAATAGCTGTGTTAGTAAAAGAGGGCATTTTTCCAGTTTCATATTTTACTTTTGCACAAGGCCATATGCCTTTTCCAGAATTATCCTGCAAACATTTAATGTTTTTAAATTGGATGCTGTGAAAAAAATGTGTATCATATTGTTCTGATTTCTGCTTGCAGACTCCATGGGGAAATTGGAGAATCCCTTCCCAAGGAATTGGCTTATTCCACTGTTTAAACAAGCTGCATTTTCAACTGCCATTGAATTGTAGCCATCTTTACTAAATCTGTGTTTGATTTTTTTTTGTTGTTTTTTTTTTCAGTCTGGCATCAAGCTGAAGAAGCTGCAGGCCCGTGTACTCAGACTACTAGCCCAGTGCCCAGCTAATCTTCTTGACCCTCTGATTAGCATTTACCAGCTCCATACAGCAGACCGGAACTATTTGCTTGAACATGTCAGTCATCTTTATCACAAGGGCGATTACAAAGAGGTGGGTCATGTCTTTCAAATAAATTTACCTACCCAGCTCTCTAGTTCTCTGTTAATGTCTGTGTCCTTTTTTGGATGCATTTCAATGTGAATTCCATTTCATCACAGCAGCTGCACACTGTGAATGGTACAGCTTAGCATGGTCTTCCCATGTACATGAGCAGGCTGTGTTCAACCTCATTTTTTCTAATGGCTGAGTACAGAAGCCAGTGAATCCTTCCTCCACCCCTTTTTTGACCTTTGAAAGTAATAGGTTAATAGGGTTTAATTTGGAGAATTTAAGGGGATGGTTGTGTTCTTTTTTGTTTTCCTTGTCTTTGGCAAGAAAAGAAGGGGTTTTAGTAGTTGGTCATAGACCTGCTGTGCTATCTCCAATCTGCCTGCAGTGAGGAGGGGTTGGAAAATACCTCTGTTCCCACGTGATTACCCTAACCAAAGGCTTCTCAGTTTGAGGACTTTCAAAGCCTCTTTACCATTGAGGCTTATATTCAAATACTCGTGTATTTGAGTTTGAGTGACTGACGCTAGCAGGAGTTCACCAAATCCAGAATTTGATATGTTTTATCCTGTGGTTTAGAGTACTCGCAGCATCTCTGGCATCACCGTGATGTCTTGGTAGCCTTGCGAGTGTTCTCATGAGCAAACTACAATACAGTTAATGCCTTTTTTTTTTTTTAAAAAGGCAAAAAACATAGCTTTGTTTTTCTCAAAGGAAGATGGTTCACTTTGATGGTGTAGAACAGCTTGATCTTGTTTAGCAAAAGAAAAAAATCAAATAGCATTTTAAAAATCCTATTCTTCAGTAAAGTCGAATTCCCAAGTGAGATTATGGAATTCCATTCTTGTTGATTTTTTTGAATACTGAAACAAGGATATTTCATATTTGATTAGAAGTTCACAGGTAGCTGCTTGAAACTTACTCTTTTGCTCAATAAGTTTTTGAACGTGAGTGATTGAAAATCCTAACAGAAACATAGTATTTGACTATATTCAAGTGTGATTTTTAAGTTCATGGCTCCAAAGATATTTATTGTTGTCATTAGAAATGCAGTTCTCTCTAGATCTGGTTTTGGAAAGCTCTAAATTTTTTTTGGTGGAATTGTTTTTCTGTTCTTTCTTCTACAGAAAAGCTCATTTACTAGTCATTCCCAGTGTGAAGAACAGGAAACCTCAACTGTTGCTTACCCTCAGCCATAACTTTCTTCTAGTTTTGTTTTGTTGCCAGAAGGATGAATAGGATTATCTTCAAGAATAACAGGAAATCTTTTACTGCCCTTGGGGACTGATCATACCTAAGGTCACAGCAACTTACCCCAAAAAACCTGGAACTAGGGCTCTGAGCACTTGCAGTGGGCTGTGGCGTGTCTGTTTGTCCC